GGTGGGTGCCCTTACATGAGGCTTATATAAGGCTAATATGAGGCTTATATGAGGACAGTGGGACTATACAAGGGCTATGCCAGGCTTATGGGGAAACTACCCACCTGAAGTTTCCTCAGACACTGCCCAGTGGGCCCAGCGTTTGCGGATAACCCTAAACCCTAAACCCTAAACCCTAGACCCTAAACCCTAAACCCTAGAATAATTGGCCAATAGTCGGGTTTGGGGTTCAAGGCTTCAGGTGCTGGGGCACGTGTTGTCAGCATGGGCTTCTCGGGTACCTTGTACTGACTTAAGAAGTAACCTTACTGTCACGAGGAAGCATGTTAGACTTCTGCATCTACTATGTATTTGGGCGCTTGTCCGACCAATCCTCATATACTTCCTCGTAAGGACCCCATATTCCCGTTCTCATCCCTGTAATACCCCTAGGTTCCTTACAGCCGCCCCCCCCTTGTTCAGAAACTCTATGTCTGTTTCATGATTCTGGGGATACGTACGGTGTTCGGCTTATGAACCCTAAACCCTAAACTCAACCCTACTACCGATGAAAATCGATAGGGACGCAAAGCTGCTCAGAGTAGGCCCTCCTCATAACCTTGCCGTCCCCACGTTTGCGTAAGTTTTAGACGTAAAGATCAGAACCGCTACGTCAAACCCACTACTCATATGAGCTATAGTCTAAACTGAAGGTAAACCCCAAACCCTAAACAACCCCTATAATCTTCCCCAGTATAATCCCCCATAAAACCCGTTTTTAAGTCCGTTTACGAGATTTGACGGCGCTGCAGTTAAGTGTATAGAAATAGGCCCCGGCATGTTCCCTTAGAGTTTCTGGTGCTTTGGGAAAGGGGGGTTTGGGTATTAGGGTTTAGGGCGTAGGGTTTAGGGTTAGGTGCTTGGGGGACGAGAAATTACAATCCAACTTGAAATCTTTAGGGTCACTTTGAAGCTTTAATGATTTCTAAGGATTCTATGAGGGCTATGTAGGGGGAGTGCATATATGGCCAACCTTTGAGGGGTTTTATAAGTATATAAGGATTACTTCATGGATCCACTCCCCCTTAAGCAGCAGCTAAGTAGAGCATAATGGGCATAGTATTCCCTTGGCCTCCCAGCCCCCATCTTGAAAGGTGCCCACAACACGGCCGCACGGAGGCACGGAGTTTCAAGAAAATTCTCAGCTCTGAACCCTGAACCCTAAACCCTAAACCCTAAACCCTAAATTCCCAGCCCTGAAACCTAAAGCCTAAACCCTCTAGCGGGCTTTGAAAACGCCGTAGAGGAGTTCCCGGACTACCCTTATATACTTCACAGGGGTAGAGCCCCTCTCAAAGAGAGCCTGAGAAGGGAACCGC